CAGCTTCCCCAAATACAGCCAGTGTTCCACACCAATGGCCAAAAAGGAGTAGAGCTCCTGGTGTTCAAGTTCATGATCTTTAGGAAACAATAAATTCCTGGGTGAACAAAGAAAGGCAGACAGGACTGAGATCTCCTGCATGTCCTTCCTGAGCTCAGTCTGCCTAAAAAACAGCTACTGAGAGGCACTAACCCTGGGGGAGTGGGAGACAGTGGGTGTTTGGCATGCACACTCAATCCTTCAAGCTGCTGTATGAACGCTATTATCTTTGCATTGCAGACTGAGCCAAGGCATAAGTTCCTTTCCAGTGGGGTTGAGCTTAGATGAGTAGTGCTTACTTCCTTATCTTAGCAACTAGTCCAGGTGTTTTCCCCAAAGATCTCCAGTTTAGGTTGATCCTGGGCAGCCATGGAACAGAGGAGGGGACTTCTCTATTATTCTTGAGTCCAGCTCTGGCCTGAGTTGCTTGCAAAAGGAAAGGTATGCCTAGAAACAATATTGTTGCTAGTAGTTGCAGAACACAGCTTTCTACTTTGAACTTGAATGCGAGTATACAACCAACTGTCTCCAGTACCTGGGTTTGGGCTTGATGGTCAGGCCCCAGGCTCACTACCTTCCAAGACTTGGGTTCTATGTAACCTTACAAATACCATTTCAATTACAAGACAGTCTCTGTGACACAGAAGCAGGGGAAATGTATTACATGTGTGTCCAACAGAAGGTTCCCTCCTGGGACTGGAGCGTTTAGTATTCTTTGTCTCCATTTTCCTACTAACAGAGGAGAAAAAGTCAGTTTTGTCTTTGCACACAAGGATGGATCTGAGTGATTGATGCAATTCCTTGTCCCCACAGGTCATGCTTGATATTTCAGAAAAATTGCAGCCAATATGAGGACTAGACATGGCTGAAACCACAGGCAAAACACCCGGTAGCTACTGTACTTACAGCAATAGAATAGTTTTCTCTTCCACCAGTTAGCAAAGTAATCAAGTTTGTAGGAAACAAACAATTTTGTGCAGATAATAAATAGCAATTTGATAGATATAAGTAACCCATCGGCATGCTTAGAAGGAGACCAGGCAGAATTGATGACAGTCATGGAGATGAGTGCAATATGAGGCTGTACCACTACCACCCACCCATGCCAGTGCCAGGTGCTGGGTGCTGGGTGCTGGGACCCATGGATTCATCTAGTTAAGTCACCTACCTTGAAAAACTTTAATTCACAAAGGACATTATATCCACAGACTCTATTTACGTTCTATACACAGATTCTGTTTAGACTCAGTTTCCAAAGATCTCCTGGCTACTTACCCTGCCCTCCATATATACTTTGTCCTTCTGGCCTCCCCTGTGATTAATGTGGCTAGGTGAGCATTGACCATTCTGTTTGTCAAAATCACTTGTCAAGCCTAGCAATCATTCATGAAATACATAGTAGAATCTTACATCTCACTGCCCAAGCTCATTTACACCCTTCAAGACAGAGAGAAAAAAAATACTGTCAAAGTGAAAATTTATCTTAGAGACTTATTGTTGTGGTTTGAATAAGAATGCCCCCCATATGCTCATATAGTTGAATGCTTAGTCACCAGGGAGTGGAACTCTTTGATAGGATTAGAAGAATTAGAAAGTGTATCACTGGGGGTGGGCTTTGGGGTCTTGATAGCCCAAGTCAAGTCCAATCTCATTTTCCCTCTGCTTACAAATCAGGATATAGACTCGAAGCTACATCTCCAGCACCACATCTGCCTGCATACATGCTCCTCACCATGATGATAATGGACTAACCTCTGAAACTTTAAACCAGCATTAAATGTTTTCCTTTATAAGAGTTGCCTTGGTCATGTGTCTCTTCACAGCAATAGAAACCTTAAGACACCTATTATCTCACACATCACGCTCTCCCTGGAGCCAGGATGCTACATGGGCTCATAGCTCTGGACCCTAAAGAGTGCCTCTGTTCCCCTGGCACCCTGAATCATAGTCAGGACACATGCAGCAGACAGCCTGCAGCATTGGCTGGGGCACTCTTCAGTCCAAGAGTGTGCATTTGCATTCTGTGATTCCATACAAAATACATGGAGTGCAGAAGTGTGCTAGAAAAGAAACCGTGTGGATAATCCATCCCATCTTGAACATCACTCCTGATAAATGCACGACAAATGTGGCTCCAGGAGTCCCACTTTGCCAAGGACCTCTCCACTCATAGACATCCTTGAGTAAGTGTGTGTCTGTCTGAAAAGACAGGCCAGAAAGCCTGGAGAGACCGACAGAGGCATTATTGCTACACTCTCAGCTCTGCCCAGAGCAGTCTCCTAGGCTGCAAATGGTGGACAGTGTTGGATGGTAAAAGCATGAAGAAAAATAATGAGAACAGATAAATCATGTATTTGTCAGTCATAGACCTATGCTCTATGCTCAAATGATTATACAAAATCATCAGAGTCTACTACTTGACTCCAAATGTCTCAAAAAGAAAATCTCACAAAAATCATTGAACAGTATGAGTGACCAGCAGTAGCCATTTGACTTTAAATAAGTATCATGGTTTCCTTTGTATGAAGACAGAATATATGCAAGGATCTGACCAATGCAGAATGCAACAAATAAAAAGTCTAGTATAACAGGAGAGGCTTGCAGATAACTGCTGCTCACACACAAACTGGGTGGGAGGCACACAGGTGACAACTCTCCTGCTATTTTTAAATAAAGTATTTCAGGGACACAACAGAGAAATAAGTAAAGGAAGTCAGAGCCTAGGACCTGTTCTTTGCAATCAGTGGGTGTGTATGCAGGAATAGAAATGTGGTGTAAATGAACTGCTTACAGCAAAGAGTAAGGGTATGTCTTCAGACCTCTGTGTCCTGCAGTGTGGCTATGTGGCCTACAGTCAAACCATATTTTACAATCCATATTTTTTAAAAATCCTTTGCAAAATGATTCAAAGTAAATGCTCTATTTCTGCAAGAACCCTCTGCTTGAAGCAAAGCATCCTAAAGCAAGAATGTGCCAATCAAGAAAACCTACTGTTTTGGGATCTACATGGGGCCTCAATGTTACTATGTCCAACTCCAACTCAAGACTCGCACACCATGGGGAGGAAGTGGCCAGCACTGCAAGCAGGCAGAGTTGAAAGAAGCAGCCCCTGGAGAAGTATCTTGAGTTTTAAATCTTGAAAAGGGTCAGGCACAGCAAAAGTCTTAATCATCTGTCACTGCCGTCTCCTACTGCCCCACAGAGGACAATCAATGTGCTGGTCACACTGTGAGATGGCTGGGAAATTCTGCATCTACTCACAGAGAAGGGAGAACAGCTGTGTCAAGACTAGGCAATGAGCCTAACAGGTGCCTGGTACAGAGAATTTACTTCTGGTGCAGGTCCTGCCTCTGAGACTGTGCCCTAAATATCAAAATGTTTTGGGACATGTTGGTTTCTCCATTGAAACTTGAAACGGTGACCCCTTGGGAATAACTGCCCCTTTCAGTGGCTGGTGAGCATCAAAAAACCTTCACAAAATGCCTGATGTGGTATTTTTATTCTTCAACAGTTTTGAATGTCTATCTAATGTGTTTGGTTTATTTTGTGGCCATAGTTTTGGATATAAAATTTCACTAGTGCTTAAAAATCTATAGAATTTGTAGTGAATTTCATGAACTCTCATTTTTTCCAAAGCCTCCCTGAACCTAATCTTTCCTATATAAATAGTGTCTAAGAGGCATATAATTCCTGTATTTCTCCTATAGAACCTTTTGGAGTGACCCCTAGAAATGGTCCAAGGACAGGTTTCTCTCCTCAGATCAGGGAATACAACCCAGAAGACTCATGTGTGTCCCCAAACCCACTGGTCCATGGCACTAATCTTTAAAATTCATTCAGTCTCCAGCAAGCTCTACACAGCCTTGAGACCAAATTCATTTTCTTTTTCCTTCCTGTCTTAGGGAGAAAGACTGCTCCTTTGTCTCGCTTTTACTTCCCCAGTCTAGACTCTCACCTGTACAGTATTGAAAAGCAGCCTCTGGGAACTGTGCAATCTCAGCCATGTAAGTGCAATCGTTATCCTTGACTGTTGACTTGATTAGATTGAGGTCAGTAAAGCACACGTCTGGGTGTGCCTGAATGTGGGCAGCAGCCAGTAAGAGGCTAGAGCTCAGATGGAATAAGAGAAAAAAGTAAGAAGCCAGCTGGCAAAATTCATTCATTTTCATTTTCATCCCCCGACCCCAAGCAAAGTTGAGGATGGATTTCTCCTGAGGGAAATATAGAGGTGTTGGATTCATTATCCAAAAGTGTCATTCAGTGCTGAAGTTTGCATTTTCTATTTCCCAAAGCATCTTCTATGATTGAAATTCATGCCTGGTGCTTACCAGAATCCAAGACGAGGAGACATGATGGCAGTCCCTTATGAAAGGGCATGATACCTCTGGGTGAGAATAGATCTGATATTGTGCCACCCCTAAAAGATGCTTGAACCCATGATATTCTTGGATGCCTGCTGCCGTACTGACTAGGGCTGTAGAGGGAAGCTAGGACATACAGCAGCAACTCGTGTCCCATCATTCATCCATCTCAGCTGGTCCTTGTCTTCTTCCTTTCACCTGTCTACAGAAAGCCTCACAGGGCAAGAAAGGCTTGGCTGCCTCAAAGTGCTTCATCATTGAAGCACGTGATGCTTACCCAACAAGCTTGGGATAGTATGGAAACAGCCATGATGCACATGTGTACAACTCAGAACTAAGAGTTCAGGTGTGAATGTCAGCTATGCCAGCCGGTAAACAGGCCCAACACATGGCTGTACAGCAAGTATTTATTCCTTTAAAATGCTTGTCTATATCTATATAAATTATAAACCACTAATGTCTAAGAGAACCTAACATTGACACCTTCAAGATGTCATCTGCAGCTGACGTTAGTTGACCCAACTTGCAGAAGCCTGAAACGATCAGAGAGAGTCTGCTGAGGTGGCCACTGTGTTCTGTAGGTGACTTCAGCTCTGCCACTCACTGCAGAGGAAGAACTACAGGTGGCTCCATGAGGGACACGTGCAGGTACCTGAAATGAGAGCAGGGCAAACAAGATCAGCCAGAGCCAAGGATGCCAGTCAGGCTATGGAAACCCTCCAGTAGTCTTTGGGGTCAGAAGGAAGCCAGGTAACTATAACTGCCAAACCCTGGCAAATAGTGAACCTGGACCTTTCTAAATTCCTTTTCTTGATTTAGTGAGCAATCTTGTTTTCCAGCCTAACAGAGGATAGAATTTATTCTATTTTTAGTTCCGACTCCACAGCAACCCAGAAAGCCAGGAGGGGAGAGTGCCACAACTTACTTTGAAGTCTTATACTTCTCCCTGATTGCTTGCTGAGGTCGATGGGGTAAACTGAGGCAGGCTTTATGCAGCTCACTCAGGCAAGGCACAATTTCACTTAATGAATAGCCCGTAAATGCAGCAAGCGTTTCTGGCTAGTTGAAACAGGGGGAAAATTTTGTTTCACTTAACTTTACAGGAGGTTAGAAATCTGAATGTAACTGACAAAAAGTGAAGAGAATTGAGGCCTCAGTGCCTGTGCACATGGATGTAAAAGGACCTCTAACCTCTTAGACTAGAAACGGAACAGCCAAGTTTGCCCCAGTCCATAGTTGTAACCCTTAGTGTGGGGCAGATGACAATTCTTGTTCCTTCAGGGGCAGGACTTTCACTGGTTCTTAAGGAATTTGCATAGAATATGAGAGATTCCTAGTCAAAAGATCACCCTTGGGGAAAGAGAGAACTGACCCCCTAAAACCTCTTCTCTGACTGCCACATCTCTCTCTCTCTCTCTCTCTCTCTCTCTCTCTCTCTCTCTCTCTCTCTCACACACACACACACACACACACACACACACACACACACACACACACGT